CCCCTAAACCCATCCCCCCCATCTAACTCCCATATCGAAGTGGTCTAAGATAAGAACACGTAAGAACATTCAATCAATCAAATGGTTACTAGACAGACTAAACAATAGTTAAAAGTGCGCATTAAGAATTAAAGGACTGTTCAATACATTTTATAAGAAATACTCATACTTAAAATGTTAACTTTTATATACCTTTTTCTTTGGAGGACATCCTCTGACGCATGCTCCGTTATCCTTCAACAAATGCTCTGGACAGTCCTTGACGCAAGTTGCTCCGTACGCATATTTTCCATCCGGATTTCTCTCCCATCGATACTTTGTCGGATTGTAGATCTGCATGGGTGGACACTCTTGCTTACACACTCCGTCGTCGTAAAAATTCTTACAGGCCTGAAATACAATAAATACTTCAAATTGGTAGGTACTAGGGCGCCAGGCCGCCATTGCTGTAAATAAGAAGGTGTTAAATATGTCCGCGCAACAATCTCAATTGTCCAGACGTGCAATTAAATATTTTAACTGTGTGCACTGTGCACGGACAAACGGGTGCAGAAAATAACATTTTAAATTTTTAAAAATTTAGATAATTATTTTTTGAGGAAAAATTGTGAAAATTTAGAATTAAAGTTTGGAGTTGAAGAGCCTATGATGAAATATAGGTGTGTGACAAGCATACACATCACACAGACAAATATATACCGGGGNCATGTATATCTGTGTATACTGTATTCTTGGGATTTTGTTCCAGCAATCTCTAGTCTCAAGCTAGATGAAGATTGATAAAATATTCCTAGGTTTGTGGAACCTTCTCTCAGGGTGTGTGTGGTCCTCCCCCCCCTCACTACTCTATACTCAGGACGGAGCTTACTCAAACCCATACCCGGATCTAGGTTTCTATCCAGAACTCATATGTATCTTAACTTTGTAAACTGTACTTTTAGATTTAAAATTTTATTTTATTCTTACCATGATTGCTCTATATTTTAATAATATCCAAAGTTTACAGGAATATAAAGGTATGTCCGTCTCCCGAAGTCAGTATGTTTCTGTCAATATACTAAGATTCGGCCACTGTTCTCATTTTTGTCCCTAATCAACTATTGTATTTTATTTTTAAGGTAAAGGAATTAAATCTTTGTCACACCCACAAAGTCTAATTTTCTAATCCCAATATATTTTGAACCCAATGAATTTTGTTGTATCAAATAATCTAAGTTTGAAAGGTTTACACAGTCATGTATCAGGTTGCAAAGATGTAGGAATTAGTAAATTTTAATTTGTAGCAATGGCTAAATTCCATTCAAACATGCTTGGCAGCAACATAGAAGCTAAAAAATTTAATATGAAAAAGACAATTTAAAAATGTGAACAGAAAATCTGCAGATTTGAAGGAGGGCATGGACCTTGGATGTGCATTTCCAGTGTAGAATATAGGCCCCCCAGTCCCCCAAGAACCCCGAATTCCGACCCTTTGAAGGAAGCAGAAAAAGTGTTAGTCCGGGTCACGACTCTCAGAAGTCGGATGTATGGAAAATGTTATCTATCTTTATAGTTGGGCATGGGATGAAGTGTGTACATATACAAATCAAATAAAATTTAAACCAAAAGTAGGCATTAAACGTAATTTTCCAGGCGTCATTAAATCACACAAGTATTTTGATTGAATTTCAAGATACAAACTTGATTGATGGATTGATAGCAACAGTTCTAGATGAATTAAGAGATATCAACTAAAACTGAACAACCGTTGTAAATTGATTTTGATGAAAAGGGAGCCGATCGCTTCCAGTTTTGATACTACTCCTCTCATTGCCTGCGTCAATCAAACATATGACTCGTGGAAAAACATGCTCGATACAATCTTAGAACAAGAAGTTGGGTGTATTGTAAAGGAGAAATGCCGGCCATTCAAACCTTTTTAAACATTCAGCTTCGGGCAATTCCATCCCAGTCAGTTGAGAAATTGTATTTAATTCTTCTACAAGCAGTAGGCACCTAAATCTTAACCTAACTTAACCAAACCAAACCAAACTTAACCAAACCAAACCAAACTCTAAATTAAAACAAAAAATCTCCGCAAAATGAGATCAAACCAATTCGAATTTTGATTCCAGCCAAAAAGGAATGAAGTTTTGACTACAAACTCAGATTTTTTAATCCCTATATCTTTGCAAACCAATGTCGTAGACCATTGATATTTCAAACCAGGAATTCTGTTAGATCAAATAATCTTGAAATCAATGGTCTACAACATCGGGTTGCAGAGATATAGGATAACAAAATTAGAGTTCGCGGAAAAAACTCAAAACAATAAAAAACACACACAAAAAAAAAACAATCCTATACACAGAACACGTACTATTTGGTTGCATTTACCACGCAGGAAAAAAACTTCGACCTACGCTAAAATTTCAGAAAATAAAATATTTGCAAAATTAACAACCCTAGCCAATTCCCCTTCCTCCATACTTTCAAATATCAAACTTATTTTTGATAATTTTCTAAAAATGTTTAAAGTATTAATAACGGAGGTTCAATATTAGACAACATACACATTATGCACATGCAGTGCCATGTTCTCCAGACTTTATGCATAATAATTGGAGAGCAGGAGATGCACTTTTTTGTGCAAATTCACTATTTTTATATAAAATTTTCTAGTCACAAAATATAGTTCATCCTCATGGAAGGGGTTTGAAATAGTACCAATTTAAGTTACATAACAAATTGAGATTAAAATTTCTGAAGATTGGTTGAGATTAAACTTTATAAAGAATGGTTGAGATTAAACTTCATAAGGAATGGTCGAGATTAAACTTTATAAAGAATGGTTGAGATTAAACTTTAAAAAGAATGGTTGAGATTAAACTTTATAAAGAATGGTTGAGATTAAACTTTATAAAGAATGGTTGAGATTAAACTTTATAAAGAATGGTTGAGATTAAACTTTATACAGAATGGTTGAGATTAAAGTATATTATCCAACTATTCATCAGACCTCTATAGTAAATTATAACCACCATGTAACCTAGACTCCAGGGGGTATATAGAACAGGAGGGGAGGGGGGCGTTATTAAAAATGGGGGACATCACCCCAGGGGGTTGATCCCATCACTGTAAAGGAATTATTATGAAAACCTCAATATAAAATTCTACATCATGGTCAACCAATTATTAAAATTAATCGGCGTCAATCTATAAGTTCATTAATCAAGGTTGAGTCCTATGTATACTATCTACAAATAGGATCTAAAATACCTCAAATTGTAATTTGTCATAGGTAGTTTTTAAACCAACTCAAGCTCAAATGGGTGGGTAGTGGGAGGGGGAGGGGTACACAAAGTCGTATTATTAACAATTTAAAGTTTTCCAGTTTCAAGGCATTGGACTTAAATTCAGGTTTTATTGCATGATGTAGTTTATGCACTTAATCCACACAGAACTAAGTTTATTTAGTTTAGTCTTTCCTTCTTTACAATAAGATATGCATATGTTCAGTCGTAAAATCCATGTTTTTTAGCAAAGGAGTTTTAAAACGCCTTAAAAAAATTAGGACTGAACACTATAAAAGCTTGATTGAGTGAGATTACCAAGCTTGAAATAAATTTCATCTTTAGTTTGATGTGAATCTTTATAATGTCAAATTTCAAATACGAAGAAAGCCACTTCTTAAAAATATTTGAAATTAAATTAGTGAATTAGACCTAATTCAAGAATACTGTTATCTTTGATTTTGATATTTCTACGATGCTTATGTTGTAATTAAGTAATGAGTTTTTACAACAAACTAAAATTTTCCAATCCCTTTATCTTTGCAACCTGATGTCGAAGACCTTTGATTAAACTCTGTTAGATCAAATAGTGTTTGAAATATAATAGGTTTACACCATCAGGTTGCAAAGGTATAGAGATTAAAAAAGATGAATTTGACAAATTCTCAATTTTCTGTTGTAATCAATTTCTGATAAAATGAACTTACCAGACAATCAGATTGTTTAGGACCAGTACATCCTCCGGCACAGAATAGATGACAACATTCTCGAGGTTTAGGACCAAAGCAACGTCCACTGTGACATTGGGCAGCACAATTGATCTTAGAGAACTTCTGGCAGTTGCTGGCACCCTCACCCCAGCATCCGTTCTAGACAAAAAAAAAGACAATATTAAAACGAAAAAAAAATTCTTTTATGAATAAAACTTTCAATAAATAAAGATGATTAAGTATACGATTGAAATAAAGTATCCAAAAGATAGAACTTAAGAATAATTACTAAAAGGAATGAATGAGTACAGAATAGATGAAAGAAATGGTTTAAAGATAAAAAGGCGCAAATAAAAGAACACATTCAAGAAAGAATAAAGAATAAATATAATATTATATTCAGGGGATAAATGAAAAAAAAATCTACCTCGCAGGATTCATGACAAGGAGTACAATCTCTCTCCGGCTCCGTGAAGTTGTAGACGTAAACATACTTGGAGTAGGGTCCGGTGATGATCTCGTTCCACTGGATCGTCTTGATATGACACAAGTTGTAATTGTTCAAGATACCAACAGATCCATGTAGAATATCTGAACAAAAAAGTGTTAAACTTCACAAAAATATTGATTTTTCAGCTCCCACCCATGTTAAGAACAGGGAGGGGGGAGGGGGTTGTAGTGTCTAATATTGCCTGTATTATAGACCTGTAACCACTGCCCAGGGCACTGTCTATATAGTAGCAACCAACCCTAATCCAAATCCTTTAACGACCAACCCCTCTTATCCAGTAGCAACCAACCCTAATCCAAATCCTTTAACGAACGACCCCCCTTATCCAGTAGCAACCAACCCTAATCAAAATCTTTTAACGACCAACCCCCCTTATCCAGTAACAACCAACCCTGATCCAAATCCTTTAACGACCAACACCCCTTAGACAGTAGCAACCAATCCTAATCCAAATCCTTTAAAGACCAACCCCCCTTATCCAGTAGCAACCAATCCTAATCCAAATCCTTTAACGACTAACCCGCCTTATCCAGTAGCAACAAATCCGGTAACGACACGACCACTAAAGATCAATTCTTTTGATAATTCAATCTTTCAGAAGACTTAAATAACCTTACACCAGATCTTTTTAGGTGATCAAACCATTTAAAATTAAAAATTTCAAAAAAGGTCAAATTAAATTTTTTTTAAAAGATCCAATTAACTAGTTTTAAAATCCAACTTATCTCAATTCAGTTTCTCCTATGAACAAGGGAAGTCACAACTATTATACCCATCCATACTTTTCTTGTAGCACCCCCCCCCCCTTTTCCTTACAATTTAGCTGCGGAAAACAATTAAGGTTTAAATAGAGTACATAAAAAGGTCTAAAGGTGGCCACGTATATACCTCAGTTAGGGGGGTAATTTTATACTTTTTATTTTTACGTTTAAAATATATATATTATATAACAGAAGTTAGTGGTTTGGAGAAAGGGTACAATTAACAGGAAAAAGAAAAATTTTCAAGATTTAAAAAACATGATTGAGAGAAAATAACGGAATAAGTTGAGTTCAAACCTTACTCCGGGGGCATAAAAAACCCGATATTGTAAAATTTGCGCTGGGAGGGTTCCAATTCGTCTCAGTGCTAATTGGAAACTAACCCAGACTAAAATTTTCTAACTGCAGTTGTAAAAATGGTCACAGACCATTATTTTACAACCCCCCTCCCTTCTCCGCCTCTCAACTCATCAATCCAAATTATCTATTTTTTTAAACAGAGGATGTTACCGTTGCATTTGCATATTTTAAAAAACCAAAAATACTTGCCATCCTTTCAGCTATAAAATGTTCCAGCTTAAAAAACTGTTAAATTTTGTCGGAAATCCTTTTCTAACCCCGGGACGACTTGGATGAACATGAATATTCAAATTAGGGTCGGAGAATTTATTCAAAATCCAGTAGCTGGGGAAACAACCTTTAATTTCATCCATAAAAGTCTACATCAATTACCATTAAAATTCTTCCACTGAAATATTTGGGGGAAAAACTTCGCGCGGACAATAGAAATATTTTTTCGCCTTCAAGGACAACGTATTTTGCAATATTCGCACAGGGGGAAAAGTTGGGCAGATTTAAATATTTACAATTTAGTTTTAGTGCTTAAAGCGAAACCCGAGATGGTTTTAAAAACAAAGGATTTAAGAATTTGGAGGGTTGAAATCCTTCTAAAATCTACCTGTCTACCCCCTCCCCCCCATTACACAACTTAACCCTATGATTATACTGACCAGTGAAGGGGGGGGGGGTGTAATAACTGAAAACCCAGACTAACTCCATAACCCAGCCATGTCGATTAATATTCGGTTCGTTTTTAACAAATGGTTTAAAAATAAAACCATCAATTCTCCTTAAACATCTTAAAAAATACAAACAGAGTTAACAGCGTCTATTTACAACCCGGATCAGTCGCTAATTTTACATCCTGTTTTTATAATATAAACCAGTTAACTTCGACGAATTAAACTCAATGAGAAAGTTTTAAAATCCGTGAAAGTCTAATGATTTAGCCACCTTTACAACCCCCTTCTCATAAATTAGGGCGTTGATATCTAGTAAAATTAAGAGTAATTAAGAATCTAATTATGTAAGATATTGAAGTCTGTAGAGAACCCGCTGCCACAATTCATTATGATGACGTCAACAAAAAAGATAGCGGAGAAACAAAGCTTAACATGCGATGACTTGCATCTTGATTCCAGAACAATTAATATTTTACAGCTTGCTTTTAAGAGTTATATGCTACAGATTGCACTACACATTTTTTGATGGGAGGCTTAATTTCCACTGGAAGTTTAGAGTTTTGACTGAATCTTTATTATATTTGGCTAGCGCAACCTTTTTAAAAGTTGACAACATAGCCGCTCCTTTTTTAACAGGGACGGATCGGGACGTAATATATTAAAACGTCTAAACAAAAGGGGGAGGGGGGGGGGCCTACGTAGGTTGTAAACATGACTCCAAAAAATACATTGCCCCGAGGCGAAGAAAGATCGATGGCGTTTATTTAAAATAAGATTTTATAGAATGTGAACCAGAACCTCAATACATCATTCTTCATCATTGGAGTAGGTTTAGAAATGTGTTAGCTTCAGTTAGTTTGTGTTAAGTTAAGATGATTCGATCAAAGTAGAGTGATATAGGATGGTTTAGTATGGTTTAGTATGGTTTAATGGTTTAGTGATTTTTAAATGGATTAGAAACGGTTTAGATTTAGAATGATTGAATGGTTTAAAATGGTTTAGAATGGTTTAGAAAGGTTTAGAAAGGTTAAGAATGGATAAGAATGGATAAGAATGGTTTAGAAAGGTTAAGAATGGATAAGAATGGTTTAGAATGGTTTAGAAAGGTTAATCATGGATAAGCATGGATAAGAATGGATAAGAATGGTTTAGAATGTAAAATGGTGGTTTAAAATGGTTAAGAAAGGTTAAGAATGGGTTAGCATTGGTTTAGAAAGGTTTACCATGGGTTAGAATGGTTAAAAAGATGTAGAATGGTGTAAAATGTTTTAGAATGGTTTAGAATGTAATATGATGGTTTAAAATGGTTTAGAAAGGTTAAGAATGGATAAGAATGGATAAGAATGGTTTAGAATGTAATATGATGGTTTAAAATGGTTAAGAAAGGTAGAGAATGGGTTAGAATGGTTTAGAAAGGTTTACCATAGATTAGAATGGTTAAGAAGATGTAGAATGGTGTAGAATGGTTTAAAATGTTTTAGAATGGTTAAAAATGGTTTAGAAATGGATTAGAATGAATTAGAATGGTTTAAAATAGTTAAGAATGGTTTATAATAGCTTAGAATGGTTTAGAAAAATGTAGAATGGTGTAGAATGGTTTAGAATGGTTTAGAATGGTGTAGAATGGTGTAGAATGGTTTAGAATGGTGTAGAATGGTTTAGAATGGTTTAGAATGGTTTAGAATGGATTAGAATGGTTAGAGCGATTTTAAATTATTTGAAATGGTCTAGAATGGTCAAAAAGATTTAGGAAGGTTAGGTTTGATGAAACTCCCAAATATTTCAAAACCCTGAACAAACAAGCCTCCATATTTAAGAAGAATTTTTAACTGTACATACATGGAGCATGAGTACACCGTACTCTTCTTTGTCGTGTGCTTGGAAAAGTGCATCTATTGTGCATGCTTAAGTGCGCATGGTTGATAAGTGCGCGTGAATTGTGTGTGTGTGTGCTCGGAGAGTGTTCGTATGTGTTTTTGTTTGTGACTGAAAGATACTGTGGTATCTTCTAATGATGCCTTTCCATCCCAACTTTTACAATAATTTGTTGGTTCGGTAGCCCAAAGCAAAACTTCCCAACAGCTTATACTATGTTATTCTCAATACATCTTAAACGTCTGATATCAACGAGTATTATAGTATTATAAGTTGAAAATTTAGTGTTATTATACTATTGTTATACTGGAAACCCATTCAAAAGTTAGCAAAATATGACTTTAATGCACTCAAGTACACAATTCTTAAATATATGTCAATAGGGGATACACAATGCGGAGTAGGGATGGGGGTTGAAAGGAACACAAGAGGGGGTAGGGATGGGGGTTGGAAGGAAAGGATGGTAGGGACTACACAAGAGGGAGGTAGGGATGGGGTTGGAAGGAAAGGGTGGTAGGAGCTACACAAAGGGGGGTAGGGATGGGGTTGGAAGGAAAGGATGGTAAGGACTACACAAGAGGGGGGTAGGGATGGGATTGGAAGGAAAGGATGGTAGGGACTACACAAGAGGTGGGTAGGGATGGGGTTGGAAGGAAATTATGGTAGGGATAACACAAGAGGGGGTTAGGGATGGGGTTGGAAGGAAAGGATGGTAGGGACTACACAAGAGGGGGGTAGGGATGGGGTTGGAAGGAAACGATGGTAGGGACTACACAACAGGGGGGTAGGGATGGGGTTGGAAGGAAAGGATGGTAGGGACTACACAAGAGGGGGGTAGGGATGGGGTTGGAAGGAAAGGATGGTATTGACTACACAAGAGGGGGTAGGGATGGGGTTGGAAGGAAAGGATGGTATTGACTACACAAGAGGGGGTAGGGATGTGGTTGGAAGGATGGGATGGTAGGGGCTACACAATAGGGGGTGGGGATGGGTTGGAGGGTAAACATTGTACTTATAGGGACTACGAAATAGGGGGTAGGGACTACACAAGAGGGAAGCAGAGATGGGGAAAGGAATTCATTCATGGAAAAGAAAATTAAAAAACCAATGTTTTGAAAGTAAATAAAGGGGGGTTTGGGGGAAACGAGTAGGTTTGAGAGATTCCAGAAGTGGTTTCGAGGATTAAAGAGGGGGATGGGGATAAAAAACTATTTAATATTATATGCTGTTTTATTGATGAGTGGCTTTAGGCTTTTTCCTCAGGCATTAGCATTCCAAGCCACAAAACCCTGAGATATGCATATACACAACTACTACACTAGTTCTCTAGATGACATTTTTCCTCTAGACAGTTAAAAGGATGCATTTAACTCAACTATTTAAAGAATAAACTAAATTAGCAAATTCTGACCCCCCCTTCAAATCCATTCCTGGTTTATTTTATGTTTTCTCTTATTTTTCCTAGGTTTCTGAATAATAGTTTAATTTGATCAATTATTGCAGTTCAAATATTTTCTTCAAGATGCAATATTCCCCCCAGGCTTTCAACTAGAGGGGGGTAAAAATCCCCCATTAAATTGTACATATGGTTTCATGTACAGTGTACACCGTATGAATTTATGGCTAAAGTGAACTTGTTACAGGCCGTGCCCTGTAATATTTCGTTAGAACACTACTTTGCGAAATGGGGATTAGATGGTATTTTAATTATCGAGCCCC